GCAGGAATGTTTTGGAAAAGAAAAATATGCATGCAAAATAAGCCTGACCCAATGCTTCTTGAAATCAGATGAAAGCTTCCCCATCATTTTTGCCGGCTTAGATAAGACTGCGTTGCAAAAGCAAAGCCAAATCTGCTCCGGCACGGGTGCCTCTTGAGGTTCTGAATGAAAATTTCAGAGGTCCTCAATGCTGGCCAGCCTCTGCTCCCGTAACCCAGCCTTCCATAGGAACACCATCTGCACATCTAAGGGCAAAACAGAGCCTTCGGGAGGGGAGAATATTCCACCTTCCTCACGTGGCTTCCACTGCAGTCACAGTGGAATTTCTCAGGTGAAAAATAATATCGGTTGTGAGGGTTGCAGGATTAAGGTCAGTATTCCTTTCATCTTGTACACACACACACACGCACGCTTACTTTAAAGAAAACATCCACCACACAATTTCTAAATTGCAAATTATATATATATATCTTTAAAAACCAGAGAGAAGAAAAACAGCCTCTCCATATATATATATGTATTCACTGAGTCACATAGAATATGAAAAAACTATATTATGTAAATCATCATATTCTCTATAATTCTCCAACTGACAATTGTTTTCATAGAGACACAGTGCATTCGTTCTCTTTTTTAAAAACATACTATGTGTCTTCATTGGCTTGGTAGCATATTAGAATGAAGGCGTATGGATAAAAAACGCAGAGGATTAAACAAACCCCTTGAGTCACATTATGTCCGGGTGAATTAAACAGGCTCCTTCCCCAAACTAGCCTAAATAAATCCTCCCTATGGAAAAGTGTCAGCGATTTAAGGGTTAACATAGATTTGAAAATAATTTTTAAAAAAATCTTATTAGAGGACTACACAGACAAGTATTTGGAATTCAACCCCCTTTAAAAATGACAGCACGTTTGGCAAGTGTGAGCAAATGTCTTGAACTTTACTGAGTTTGAGAGATCTGCGCACAGCCATTCACAGACAACCACGGAGCTGAGATCTGCGAATAAGTCTCGGCTGGAAGGACTCGGAAACCCCTGACAGCATCGCTCGCCACCTGGAAGCCTTCCAGCAGCTTTCAAGGTATTTATTGTGGACTCGTGGCTGGTGACAGAGTGTGACTGGTGGAAAAACTCCAGCACCGCTCCCTCTTTGCCATCATGGAGCGCAGCGGGTTTGACCAGCACCCAGACCGGTTAACCCTTCCGCCCACGCTGTGGGGCTCCGCGTCCCCCCGTCTGCCACCACTAACGCCTGTTCCGGCACTGCTGCTATCACCTTGCTCTCTCTATGCCTCATGCCCAAGCCTGTCCGTTCGCCGAGCTCTCCGGTGAACCTCTGCAGATGCCCTTCTTGGAAGCTCGTACTGTCATCAAAGGGACTGGTACCCAGCCACAGCGGCTCCCTGCTTCCTCCAGCGCTCTGCAGGATTTCACAAGTGATCCCGTTAAAAGATGCTGTTCTCAAGAATCCTGGCTGGGTCTGACTTCTTTGAGAAAAAGACAAAAGTTTCCTGTGTTGCTGTTGTTGGTTTGCAGTTGTGTTTCTTCATTCTCACTCTCTTCCCGTTTTTATTAAAAAAGGACCCTTGTACTATTAATATAGTTCACCCCCTCCACAGTCACTATAAAACAGACTCCATATTTTCACACCACTCGTGATCTTCAAGGTTATAGATAAATTTTGTCCTATGTGATTGATTTTGGGGCACCGAGTCCCGCCCCAGATTGTCTAAGGTGAGAGTAGAGGCAAAAAACTCACTAGTGCTGAGACCACCTTCGTGGTTCTTGATGTATCTTTTATAGTTTTTCCTCAAGCACTGCCAGGTGGTTGTATACAAGATGAATGCAAACGACTTCAGGGCTATCGCAATACTAACGTACAGGTATCTATAGACCACGTTGTCGTACAGCGCGCAGGCTCCTTGCTCGCCACAGAACGTGCTCCAGAACAGACACGTGGAGTCAATTCCAGCCCCAAAGATCAGCGGAGGTGGGATAAAACCTGTCAAAATAAGAGAGACAAATCATGCTTTCATGATCCTTATGACAGAGAAAGAAGACGTGGTTGCAGTGAATGGAAAGAGAGGATACTTTATCAAGGTTAACGGTCCCAGCTGCAGCCTGTGATTCTAAGTTTTTAAGTTCTAAATCAACCTAAACAAAGTCTATGGCTGAGGTTTTAGCTTGGACTCAGTACCTATGGCAGAGATTACTGCTGATATCAATACGCAGGACGAGTTTTTTCAACCTGAGTGGAGGGGTAAATGAAAGAGGAGGAGGAGAGCCTTGCAGCTTGCTCTCTGTTTAGATCTTGGTAATTCTGCACTGTGGGGTGTTCACCTGAAGGATGTCATAGGACTCCAGCTCACAGTCTGAAATCAGCTGGAGCACTGAGAGCTAGTGTAAAGTCCACTAAGAGTCTAGAGCAAGGAAGATAAACAATGGCCTCTAACAGATGCCAAAGATTAAATCTGAAAAGAAGGGAAAATTCCAGTGCACCATCAAATGAAATATCACAGCAGGATTCTCCCACGGCCACTGCAGCCAACTACTGATGAGCGTTTCTCAATCATAGTTTGCAGCAGAGCTGCAATCTCAAAGCAAAGTAATCACTCCAATCTCATTTAACTAATAAAGGCAATGTTTTTCTTCTCTACATTTCCCCATCCTACGGGGACACTGTAGAGGCCCCCCGCTTCACATTACCCCAGCGGTGGTTAGGACATCCCCATTCCAGCTCTGCACTCCCCAGCCAGCACACATGCACCGAGCCTTCGGCACTCAGAAGAAAATGTGGATGTTCTACATATGTAAACCATTTCTCTCCCTTCTGCTACATTTACGGGGGGAGGCTGGAAGCGGATAAACCCTGGAAAAAACGCTGATGGATCAAACATTGCTGTGGGTTAAGTCAGCAAGTGAAGGAGAGCATCGTATCTATTAAAACCCAGCAGCAGGTGGGCACAGCATACCCTCCACAGTATCACTCCGTTAGCAGGTGCCGTGATGCCTGAGACTCTATAAACACACGTGTAGCCAAACAAGGACTGCAGTTTCTAGACAGAAAAGTGTTTAATCTTGGATCCAGTTTCATCATTAACCTGGATATCCAGGCTTAAAAAAGATAACATCCTTCAGCTTGTCAGGAACAAAATAGTGACATTCATGACATGTATCCTAAGACTACAAATAAATTGGTTGTCTCCACTGTTCCCTGTGGTAACTGAGATCTCTTTATTTTATTTTGTCAATGACTCGAGCTCTGCAGATTTTGTTTGATCTTCCTTATATGTTAATAAATGCAGGCTTTAAGAAAGGCTATATGGGCTTTTGGTACTCATTTTAACCAGTCATTAATAGTACAAATGTAGTAATAAAACAGATGATACAAAAGCAAGACAATCTTTTTGTTAGGAACACTCATTCCAGTCACCACATCTAAAAACCTGTTTACGCTCCAGAAAAAAAACCAGCGCCAGCTCCCTGTTTGTCATTTCAATGACTGGAAATTCCACACTGGGCTGGTTCTGCTTCTAAGTTAAAAGATGCTTTTTTTTTTTTCAAACCTGTGGACAAGCGCACGCTCAACATGGAATTTAAAAACTCAGCTGGGCTCCTGCGTGTAACAAGCAAAGGCTGAATGCAGTTTGCGTGCGCAGTGTGGCACTGGATGCCATCGAAGCAGGTAACACCCAGACATAGCGGTGGCAGAAGAGGCAGGAGCCGCACCCCTTCTGCACTAAGGAAAACCTGCATGTGGATCATCATTTTGAGGTGCCAGCCCCTGCTTGTTACCATGCTGAGAGATGTTGATACAAAGCTTTGGAGAGGTACAGGCTGAACTTCAGTGAGAGCCATCATCCCCATCTGCTGGCTTCAGCTCGCTTTCCAGGTTTCCAAGATAATTTGGCCTGGAAATTGCTCCTCTTCAGACTTGAGGAAGGGCCTGTTTTCGCTGAACTCCAAAGCTACACCTATGTGAATGCAGGCACGGCTGTGAAAACCTTAAAGAAAAATGTATGAAAAACTTCTAGCAACCAGTGAGTGTTTCAGGTCATCTTTAACAGAGAGGACAAGGGACTCCCAGGAGTGACTCAGTGCCTAGACCCTCTGAGACATGGGGGTTGAGGGGTTGCACTGCAGATTGGAAAGTCCTTCGCAGAGAGAAACACCGTGTCTTTGTCATATTGAAGGAAGAGACACAAACAACATAGGTTCTTAGGAAAGCCAGAAGAAATTGCCCTGCCAAGCAGACGCTTTGCTGGGATGCACGGTGAACACCATCCAGAAAGGATGTGTCCAGGATCTGACAAGTCACAAACTCTTTGCCATTCCAGACATTTCCACTCCAAAACTTTGGCTCCAACGATACTGCTTTACAGTCTGCTCAGAGAAATGGCAGTAACGCTTTTATTTGAAGATACTGTTACGCTGCCCTCTCACAGCAGAACTCCCATGGAATGAGATAATATATCCAGGAGGATACTGGGAGAATTCAGTCGTGTTTCATGTTATTGCAGAGAATATTAAAGAGATTCAATCATGTTTTACCTCTTACTGCAAATGTTGCAAAAATTTCTGCTATATATGTGTTTCATTGCAGAAACTGTAGGGCTGTATAAAAAAGCTGCTTCTGTCTTACTGAAATCTATTAGCTACGATTGCACCTCCGGGTCTCGTACGGCCTATATTTAATACTCTCCTTTGGTTCAAGAAGCAGCTATTATCACTCTCTTCTTAAGTCAAAGCTTAAAGGTGAACTGAAAAGCTTTTAAAATAAATCAATAAAGCTATTCTCAAACCTCAGGTTGTTAAGGGCAAGATTTGGATACCCTTGCTCATACTGAAAAGTACCTTTCTCTTCATTCTCCGTGGGTTCAAGCTACATTGCTAACATGCTTCAGGATGCGTTGTCTTGTTTCATGGGAATTCCTCAGTGACAGAGTAACATATAAAGATTTGAGTTTAAATTCTTACTATGGCTTACTTACTGGAAGAAAAACCCTCATCTATTCAACTTAAGCATACGTGTCTGAGCCTGGTTTTAGAGGAATTCAAGATGCTGCTATCTCAGGAGGCTACTCTCTTTTGGAACGAAAAGAGAAAAGAGGGAAAAACTCCCCCCTTAAGTACTTCTTCCTTTGGAAACAACAGCTCACAGCCATCCTCCTCGCACACCTGCCTGCTGACACTCTGCATTCAGCCCGCGGGAGCTGAAGACAGGCCAAAACCAGAGAGCAGCCCTGACAGCTACAGAAAATGCTGTCTTTGCAGGGCTTGAACCAGCGCTGACCCAAGTCAACACGAAACCTTCCCTTTGAGCTAAGCTCTCGGTAAGATTACTTGTCAGAGCTTTCTGTATGACTGCAGCTACTTCACCAAAAGGAATGAAAATCTACCTGGCTTTATTGTAAACTGGTCTGGGACCACCATTTCCCCTTCAGCTAATGGATAATAAGGTGTTGCAAAAAAATAAGTAAATAAATAAGTAAAGCAATGTATAGTACTGTTGGATTTTTGGTCCTGTACTTCCTAGTGGCTTGCTGTAGCCTAAGAGATGGCACCTGACCCTCCATTCCTTTGAGACTTTGGGGGCCATGCAGGCAATGTACTGCCCGTGGCCTCCTGAAAAAAAAAAAATGAATTCCACCCCTACAACATGCAGAAACCCTGTGCATGAGATGGACCCACACAATGATGGAGCAGAGGATTTTGCCCTGAATCATTGAGATTAATGATCTGCAATATAGCAGTTTTAAAAGAGGAGCCATCTCTTCAAAACAGGAGAAAAACACCACCAGAAATGAACAACAGCCTAGTGTGTTCCTTTGAATTGATACATGAGAAGGACATACTGGTCCAGAGGAACAGCCATGGGTATTTTAATGGGATATTGACCCACAGGAGGGTACAAGGACTCAGCCCGTCTCATTTTACTGTTCTTTCCGAGACCGGAAGGAAGGGACAAACACACCATGTAGCACAGGTCCTGTCTCTCTAAGAAGGATGAAAATACGAATCCCTCTACTTCAGCAATATGCAATACAGCAGTAATTTTGCAAGCTGCTGACATGTTAATAACGGCTATAGAAGAGTAACTGGTTGTGTAGAAGCATGGCAGAAATGGTCATTTCTCATGCAACACCACATTTTCACCCATTAGCACAATTCAAATGGCAGGAAAAGTGCCTTCAGGTGCCTTGATGTGATACCCTTCATAGAGAGGGCTCGGACCTCGTTGTGTCAGACCCCACTCATGCCAACCACAGCATTGCACAGAGTAGAAATCAACTTTTGCACATTAAAAATACAGTTTTCTGTGAGGGAGGAAAGGATGGGAGAGAAGGACATGAAATTTTTGTACCTACCTAGCAAACGGAGAAGCAGGAAAAGCACCCCCAAAGCGTAAGACTTGAGTTCGGGGCTCACGGTTCTGTAGGGAGGAAGGAAGGAGAGAGTGAAATCGATTCTTGTTGTTCTGCTTTGATTAGCACCCCGCAGCCATCCTGTGCTGTCAGCCAGGATGCCACCACCACCTCTTCAAAAAGTCATTAATGGGGTTTTTCTCCTCCCTTCGCCTGAACTGCCTACAGCCCCAAAAGTAATTGCATCGGTGATAGGTTCAGGAATTCAGCTAACTCATTAATAACAACAGCTAATCTTGTCGTTGGGTGGGGAAAAATGAAATTCCCACTCCGGTAAATCATCATTTAAAAGCTCCCCATCATGCTTGCAAGGCTCTGGACGTTGAGAATCGAAGGGAGAGAAAACTTGCAGTTCTGAAACTTCCCAGGGTACTGGGAACTAGAGATGGACGGGAGGATGATGGACCCAAAGGCACAGCCAGCCTGTTAAACCAAGCCTCCCAAGGAGGACGCGCTCAGGAAGACCAGTTTTCATGGGCATGAGTTTAGCGTGCGATTTTTTTTTATGCTGGGAAGACAACAGTTGCGCTGCCTTTTGCTACGAACACAACGCACTGTATCGCATTGGTGTTATCCTTCAAAGGTGCTTTAAAAAATAATTCATGGCTTTCGAATTCGCTTAGCTCAAGGACGCTACTGGCTAAAGTCATCCTCTTGGGGTAGGCTCAGCAAAGCCTTTGGAATTTCAGAAATCATTAATTTGGTCTTAAGTCTTGTAATAGCATTTTATTTCCCACAGTATATAAAGGCTGGGAAAGGAGGGCAGTGATCCCCATATGAATAGATTCATCACACAGGGGAACTTTCAAGGCTGCAGCTGCCTCTTCATTAACTCCTTGCAGAGCTCTGGGGGCATCATTGCTAGTGACATCCATGGTGGCAGTGGTGGTCCTCTGCGTAAATACATTGGAGTGGCATCGGACAATACCAACAAACCGGCCAGAAACAGCAGCAGGTTTTAAGAGCGGAGCATTCTGGTCACCTGGCCTCATCTCACACATCACAGAGGCCAACGTAACACCGTAGCATGACTCCTACATGACCTCTGCATGAATTTCAGCAGAGTTTTTAGGCAGACCTCTGGCTGAATATAAAGCCTTTATGCCAGGAAGTATCTACCCTTGGACAAATATTCCAATGGCTTGGCTCAAATAGGATTCTACAGCTGGGTGGGGAATGAAGGAAACAGAAGGAGTATTAAAGTTTATTTGATGAAAAAAAAACATTAATGTGAAATATTCACAATGGGTTTTTAACCGGTGGTGGCGTCCTTCCGTCCACTTTTATCACAGAATCACAGATCACAGAATCACAGAATAGTAGGGGTTGGAAGGGACCTCTGTGGGTCACCTAGTCCAACCCCCC